ACTGTGTCTTGGTCGTTTCTCCAACAGTAGTTGCGTATTTCCCAAGGGTCCAGCATCTTAGTAGCCAAGTGAAGATATCAAGCACTTGGCGGAAAGACAGGAAGAGAAGAGCAATACAGGGGGCAGAAAGAAGTATGAGTAAGGGTGTACTTGCTTCTCGGCTTTGGACTTGCACCAAGAACTTGGTAACATGTAAGAGACTTATGGAGCCAAGACTTTTGAAAAAGACTGGCATGAGAGACCCAAGGGGAGGATGACAAAGTTAACATTTATCTTGATTTGTAATCTGATGGTGCTCTCTTCACAGACTTGCCTGGCCTCATGAGTCCCCTTTCTGTGGTTCCCCAGCAGAAGGTGTTTTGCCTCTAGGTCTCAGTGGCTCCATTTTTAAGCAATCCTGTTTAGCTGGCCATATACCCATGACACAATGGGTAACTTTGGGTGGTTTATAAAAAAAAAAAAAAAACCTTTGTTTTTCCATTTTCTCTTTAAGCACACTACTCTTAAAGTTATTTTACACCAAGAACATATGTTGTTTTATGTAGTAGATGGTAGAACCCCTTTAGAGCATGCACGTTTGGGGGTCCTAGGACAGCCCTTACTCAACCCACTGACAGTTTGAGAAGTGATTTTATAAGACATAAGTTGCTAAATATATCAACCTTTACAAATATAGGGAAAAAGTAAGAAAATACAAGTCTCAGAATAATATATGGAAGATGTCATTTATGTGAGGCTCAAAATCACATAAAAACAACCATTAGGGCCCTTCCTGGTGGCATAACGGGTTAAACCATAGCACTATGAAGCTAGCCACAGCCACTTCAACACAAGTTCAATCCCAGGCCAGGTAGGAGACCACATGGCATGGCAGACCTCTCTAGTCTCTCCCACTGCTCCCCTCAGCAGTTTATTTCAGTCAGTCTGCCTGTTCTGCTCCCCACTCTGTCTCTGGTGACTGCTCTTATTACCCCTGCACCTCTGGCCTGTAGCCCAATTCTGTAGGCACAAATAAATAAATCTTTAAAAAAAAGACACAATCGGTATGTATTAATTATGAATAAATATATAAGTAAAACTAAAATGAAATGAGCAATAATAATAAAGTCAAACTTCAGAACAGTATTACCACAGGATAGAAAAGCAGGATGTAGAAGTAAAGAGGGAGGTGAGAAGGCTTCAAATGTATAGAGCAGTGGTCTATAATATCTCACTAGTCAGCAGGCCAAGCCTTATTTTCTGCATGACAAAGAGCCTATTCCATATGATTAACACCTTCTAAAAATAATTTATAAAATCATAGTATTAGTAACTTCAAAAATTTTAGTCTTATTTTTCATATTACACTGACACCATGAAATATATTATTCTCAGTGTTTACCACAAGCTTTTCTTTTCCTATCCTCAAACATGTTGATATGACTAAGTATATTGATCTTACTGTTCCAACAAGTTTTTCTTTCTATCTTCACACATCTGCTTGTAGACAAAACATGCAAGAACTGCAGAGTTAAGTGCTTCTATTGGCTTCATATTTGCCAAAGCCCACAAATGAAGAGTAACTAGATTCCAAACATGACACTGATTAAGTGGAAAAAAAGATACAGAAGTTGTTCAGCTGCTTTACAGTAAACAGAATTTAATACACATTTTCTAAAGTGATTTTTCTCAATCCTAGTTTCAAAACCTCCTTAGAAAACTCCTAATAAAAACTTCTGAAAAAAATATTTCTTATAAACTTCATAAAATGCACATTAACCAGGAGTAAAGAAAATAATGCTAAAAGTAAAAAACACAAAGACCTAATAAGACTCTATTATCTGAGACAGAAATCTTAACCTTGACAGCAGCATTAAATTGAGAAAATGAAGATGTATCCTATAACTAATTTGCTATATTCATAGATGGGTATGAGCTTAATTGCTTGATATCAATCATAATCAGTCAGCGTCTACCTTTTTTCTACATTTCCATCTCAACATATTCGATAGCTAAACATAATTGTCAACTGTGTCTGAATCCGCTGAAATTAATTTGAGGACTTGAAGTTGGACTTTTCCTTAGTATTCCAAAATAAAACAACCATGTCTTTTAGGTCAAAACTGTCACTAAAAATACTGAATAACAAAACTTCAAACAGAATAATATTATATTCTTCAAACCAACTCCTCATAAAACAAAGCAATAGCCTAGTGTTTAATGTACTAATTTTCACATAAGTCACCATCTGATAATAAAAGTTTGAAAGGCTCCTAGTAGTCAAAATTTCAGTACTCAATGAATGACTCAAAAAATAGTGTTTTCTGGGGGTGGAAGTAGGGAAAGAGAAGCCTACGTTTCCCTTGATTTTTAATTCAAATAACTCTTAATGCCCAACCAACATAGGACAGTTATCATTAATAAGAGGCCAGTGATTTCTACATTTAACTCTACTCAAACATTAAAGAATTTTTTCAAAAGATTTATTTATTTATGCATACAGAACTGCGGTATAGGCCAGAGGTGCAGGGGCAGCAAGAGGATTCACCAGAGACAGAATGGGGAGCAGAACAGGCAGATGGACGAAGTATACTGCTGAGGGGAGCAGTGGGCAGGTCAGGAGAGGCCTGCCAAACCATGTGGTCACCTCCTGGGGTGGGAATCAAACTCATGCAGAAGTGGCTTTAACTTCTTAGTGCTGGGCTTTAACCTGCTGTGCCACCAGAGAGGGCCAACACATTGAAGAATTGTAACCCTTATCTACTCACTAATAACGCAGCTGTAACAGATTTTAGAAGCTTACAAAAGTAAGAATTTCTTCTCTCTTAATTTAGTCATATACTACACATTGAAAAGAAAACCTGGGGGCCTCCCTGATAGTGCAAAGAGTTAAAGTTCCAGCAATATTAAGCTGTAACCAGACACTGCCAACTTAAGTTTGATCCCAGGCCAGAGAGGTGATCCACATAGAGCAGCAGACCTCTCCTGTTTCACCTGCAGCTCCCCTCAGGAGTGTACTTCAGTCAATCTTCCTGTTCTACTCCACACTGTGTCCCTGATGAATCCTCTCAACCGCTTATCTCTGGTCTGTACCCTAGTTCTTATATGCAAAAATTAAGAGACAATGAAAAAGAAAACATGAAGAAACTACAAAGTACAAAAGATTTGATCAGAGGCCTTTATAAGTACAGCCAAGTCATTCATCTAATTACTGCAATGCATACTGAAATATTTCAGTCTTCTCAATTTTCTCACTACATAAAGTGCCACATTTGCAGAATAATATCCCCAATGAAAAAAAGTCTTTCTCTTTTATAAAGACTATTTCATAGAAAACATTCATAGTACTTATGAATGCCTGATAATATATTCTAGAACGAGTGATTTGTGAGGAAAAAAATCCACAAGTTTTTTCTTAAAAATAAGATTCAAGTGAAGACATACAACATTACTTTTCAGTTTTGGGGGGGATAAAAAAAATGAAAAATCATACCTATAATAATATACATGAATTCCCAGAAAACTCTTTCAAGTTTTGACTATCATATGCATCTGTTCACATATGGAAAGACCTCTCCACAAAAAAAAAAAAAAAAAAAAGTTCAAGGGAAGATCTTTCTATTAACATTGGGAAATCATGAATATAAGTATCTCCAGTGTCCAATGGCTACTGGACAAACTGGAGTGTTTACTCCAACACTGTATTTTTACTGTATTACTCCTAAATATCCTCTTCCTATATTTAAATTCCTTATGAACAATGCACAAATCTGTTTTGTTCTTTACTCAGGTCTGACATCTATCATAGCACCTGGAAAATAGTAGGCACTCAATAATAATTTTTTTTTCAATAATAATTTTTAATAGAAGAGATTTAGCTGTAAGCCAGAGCTTTTCAGGTCTAACTAGCAATAGCTAAAACTACATGACTAAACTTAAATGTCATCAAGTACAATAAACCAATCTTTAGTATACACTTTGTATTATGATAAACGTGTTAAAGAGGTAAATAAGACCCATGGAATCTCTAGCTTCATGTTCAAGATTATCTTACAGCTTAGAGAACAGACTGGATGTAGTGAAATGATTAAAAAAACAGAATGAAAATATCCTAAAGATCCTTTGCTCATTCTTCATGTACTCCCAAGTTATATCACACTTTGTCTCAGCAGCTAGACATGAAAAGTTGTCATCTGTTTTACATGCTGTCGATCAATGGTAACACTTTGGAAACATCAAATAAAATGCTAATTGAGAAAATATAAGATTATTATCATTAACTTTATCAATAATTTCCAGTTTGTAAGTAGTCCTCAAAATAAATGCATATAAATATATATAAGTGCATATATGCAAATAAGATATTTTTTATGCAGAAATAAGCATTCAGTTATTATATAGTAAGCGAAAAAAATTACCAAACTTGGACCCTCACAGTTTTAAAATTTTGAGTCTACTATTACTCAGACATTTCATAACAACTTCTGCCTCAAATTTTTCAAGAATATCTGGTAACAACCCTAAGAGCTGAGTTGTAGAATAATAATACAGTAATAATGACTTACAGAGTACAGGGTCTCTGGATAAATTTGGATTTCAGATAAAACACAATTTCTCAGTCTAAGTATATCAGAAATTAAGATTTTACTGGGCATCCTAGATATTGTTTGCTACAGTAACTATCTCAAACAGAAAGGAGTATGCATGCAAGGTCAAAATTCACACTGACAAACTGAATTGTTACTTTATGATTTTTCTGAATGAAACATTAAGTTGGTAAAAATTCTGAGAAAAAATTTATCCACAGACTATTATTCAGTAATATAAAAAGTACTATTGAAACTCTATTTCTTCACAAATATAAATATTAATGTACTCCATTTTTACCTTGAGAAGTTGTTGAGGTATACAAGCTATTTATTTACACACACCATGAAGAAAGTACTAAATGAAAATGACAGATTAATGACAGTTATTTAATGAACTAACATGCCCTGATGATATTCAGATAGATGAATTACCTCACAGGATTACTAGTCAATGATACTCGTAGGGACTCCAGGCATGTGACAAGTCTCTCATCTGCAACCCCCATTTTCAGTTCATGGATAAATTCCTGAGATGAAATCTGTCGACTACGCTTAAGCGTCCCCTGTAAAATAAGCAATAGTAATATTAATTCATACTGGGTGAAGATTTTCCATCAAAATAGTTATAATTTATATTAACTCAACTTTCATATTAACAAATGCATACAACTATTCGCAGTATTATTTTGAGGGGAAAATTTCCATCCAGTTACCCATAAACCTGTAAGTCTATAATTCATGTAACCTCAAAAGATAGTAAAACCAAAGGGCTTGCAATATAACTCTTTCAAATTCAAAATATCGTAAAAACAATGAAGTGTGTATCAGAGGAATTATATAGATAGAGTAATTTGCTTTTGTCACAGACAAAAATAACAACTCAATACAATAATGATTATTAAAATGACTGAATTCTAAGCACCAAAGAAAGAACTCATTCGTTCAACTATCAACACTATATTTCATCAATGCACAGATCAACCAGACAGAAAATAAAAAAGGAAATAATACCCTTAGGCCACATGAACTTAGCAGATATTTATAAGGCACTGCACCACCAAAAAAAAAAAATAATAAATGAGTCAATACGCATTTCTTCAGTGCTCATGGAACATTCTCCAAAATAACTACATATTGGGTCACAAAACAAGTGTCAATAAACTTAAAATCTGAATACACATCAAGTATCTTCACTCAGATCTATCCAAAGAATCCAAAAATATTAATTCAAGAGGAAATTTGCCTGTCTATGTTTGTAGCAGCTCTAATTATAATTGCCAAGATATGTAAAAAAATGTCCCAGTGGCCCTCCCTGGTGGCTCAGCAGGTTAAAGCACAGCACTACGAAGCTTAAGCTGCTTCCGCATGAGTTCGATCCCCGCCTGCCCCGGAGGTGACCACATGGTGTGGCAGACCTCTCCTGGCCCACCCACTGCTCCCCTCAGCAGTGTACTTAGTTGATCTGCCTGTTCTGCTCCCCACTCTGTCCCTGTGAGTTCTCTCACCCTCCGCTTCTCTGGTCTGTACCCCAGTTCTGTATATAAATAAATAAATCTTTAAAAAAAAAATGTCCCAGAACAGATGTGTGGCTCAAGAGATAGAATACTATTCAGCAATCGACAAAGATAAAACTCCTGCCATTTGTGACAACATGTGTGGAACTGGAAGGTACTATTCTAAACATAGTGGGCCAGGCAAAAGAAATACCAGTGATTTCACTTATTTGTGGAAACTAGAGAAACCGAAGGTCAGAATGAGCAACTGTAAAACTGACCCTTGAAATTGACTCTAGATATGAGATACTTAGGAGGGGAGGAAAAAAAAAGATGGGAGAGAGGGAGTCAAGTTTGCCAGAATGTGGTGGAGGACTATGGGCAATTTCCTGGTCATAAAACTATGGAGAAATCCTATGCTGTGAAAAAATATACAAGGCTGTATTTTAAAAGTACATAATTAAAGTATCCTCTCTGATCACAACAATATCAAAGGAAATCTAAACTTAATCAAAAGCAGGAAAAACCTGAACTAAGCAGACACTCAACAATATACTATGAATGTATATTGGACCATTGAGTTAATGAGGAAATCAAATAATGAAAAAAAAAATACCTAGAGATAAAACAAAAATGAAAATATAAGTTACTACCAGAACTTTTGGGATGCAGTTCTGTTCTTACAGAACTAAGAGGAGAGTATATAGAAATAAAGGCCCACATCAACAAATGAAAGCTCACCTTAAGAAGCTAGAAAAAGATGAATAAATGAAGCCAAAAGCCAGTAAACAGAATGAAAATTAGAGCAGATATTAAATACAAATCAAAAAGTCCGTCCAAAAGGTTAATGAAACCAAAAATTGGTTCTCAAAAACAATAAAACAGACAAACTTGTAGCAAGGTTCACAAAACAGGGAGAAAATATGAATAGACACAGTAAAGAAAGAAGCTGCAATGGGCATCCACAAATACTAGAGGCCCATGAGAGACTACTATGACCATTCATATGCTGATACATGTAATGATCTAGAATGAACAAATTCTTTGAAATGCACCACACCTTTCAAGACTAACTTTAAAAGAAATTGAAAAATCTGAACTACAACTACCATCAAGAAAATGGAGACAATAATCACGTCTCCCAAATAATAAAGAACAAGGAAAGGATGGTTTCACTAGTGTGTCCTACTAATCTTCAAAGACAAATACCTTTTTCTCAAAGTCTTCACAAAAACTAAGGAAGGAAGAACCCTCACATTTCAGGAAGCCAATATTAATCTAATACCAAATGCACATAGAAAGAAAAAATAAAATTTTGCAAGAAAAAAATAAAACACCATGAAACCGGTTATCAGTGAGGGAGAGAAAGGATCACAACAGACTAAGATGATTTGGTGGTGTGGTACGGTAACAAGAACCAAGAGTTGTTATTTCAGATCTCTGGATCATATGCAGTTTTATGAATCAATGTTCCCACAATAAAATAAATGAAATTAAACTTTGAAAAAAGTGCATTAGTTGGAATGGCAGAAAGCCTTATTTATCTTTTTTCATCTCCTTTGATTTGTATTGATTTGATGTTATATTGTTTAAGGACACATTCCCAGTAATAGAAACCAAATTAGCACTGGGGAATGGGTGATTTTCATCAATAGCAAAATGATTCATTTACTAGAGAAAAACTCACTGGGAATATATCAAGAAATAAAATTATAAAGTTGGAAGAGGATATGAAAATGATGAACACAGTTAAAGCAAACATCCAATTTTTTAAAATCAGCGATGTACCATTAGAAGGGTGATACCACTGAACCTGTACTGACATAGCACTTGGCAACGTGTTTTGCTTAAATTATCTAAAATTGACTTTTAACTTACCTTTAAAACTTTTTAACTTATCCCTATTCCAAATTTGGTTTACAGCACTTTTAAAGTACTATTTGTTCAACACAGAAAATTTAGGAAAGATAACAACAAGAAAAAAAAAAAGCCTGAAAGGACAAATGGTATTTCTCAGGTAGTTTTCTCATATATGGATGTTTATAAAATATCCTCTATTCCTACATAAACATACTTTAAAACTATTATATGATACAAATTGTTCTATAAGCTATATTTATCACCGACTAGCACCCTATATTCCCATTTTATTGCAGCACTATTTATAATATCTATGATATGGAAACAACCTAAAATCCCCAAAACAGATGACTGAATAAAGATGTGGTAGTTATACACAATGTACTATTCAGCAATCAAAAAAGATAAACTCATCTCTTTCACAGCAACATGGATGGAGCTGGAAACTATTATGCTTAGTGAAATAAGTCAGAAGGAAAGAGAAAACTACCAATGGCTTCACATATAGGAGGGAACATAGGGGAACCAAACAAGAGATGGGGGGAGGGATTAGCAGGCAAATTATAAATTAGAGGGAGGCATGGGAAGGCACAAAATAGGAGAGAAAGACTATTTCAATGACAAATTCAAGAAGGATGACAAAAGGCAGGTCACTGATGGCTTGGTGGTTGTCATTTTATGGGCTTACAACTGAGAGGACATTGAACAATGGTGTAAAAATATATAAATCAGAAAAAAAATTACCCATAGTAAGAGACATTCAATTTGAAAATTAAACATACCTAGCCATAGAACAAAGCCAGTATTAAACTAAGCATCAAAAGTTACAAAAAAAAAAAAAAACATAATCCATATATCCATATAATCTTCAGAGCAGCATTTGTCGTAATAATCAGAGAACCCAAGTATTCCTCACAAACTGTAGGGAGTACTAAAATACTAAACAGCCTTAAAAAAATGTCAGTAGTGAAAATACAATGAATCCAAAAAATTATGTCAAGTCAAAGACATTAAACAAAAAAGGTATATAGTATAGTGTTCCATTCCTTTGAAAGACTAACACCAACTTACCAATCTTCTCTAGAGTCATTCAAAGTATAAAGGCAGAGTTAATAAATTTTGAATGTATATAACTGGAAGATGATGCTAAAGGCAGACAACATTTTAAATAGGGCAGCAAGGAGATTTTAACCAGTGAACACTAGGAAAGATAGACTAAAATCACTGGGTAAAATTATTCTTTATATTTTAATACTAAGCTTTCCAAGTTTGAACATTTTATAACCGAAAGGCCTTTGCATTTTCATCTGAGATTCCTGCCTCTAACAGCATCTCTTCACCACAATCACACCATCAGATTTGGATTAACAACTTCCTCAGGAGAGGAAGTCTTAAATGAGTCACACAAACCAGTTCACCCACCTAAGGATATGAAGGATATTTTGAGCAATTTCTGTGTGCCAAGCACTGATTATACCACATGGAAGGATATAAGGGTGAAATAAAAGTCAAAGATGATTCCCAGATTTTTGCCCTAAGCCAAAATGGGGTGCCAACTACCTGAAAAGGGAAACAACTATTTAAAAGCTTTAAGTCTGACAAATGAAATTTTGTCTCTAAGAAAATAATATCTAAGGAAAGACCAAAATAAAGAAAAGGATTTGGGCATGGGGAATAGGAAAAGGGGTATTTCAAGCAAAAGGGAGAGCAGAAACAATGCCGTCATGCAGAAATGAACTTGGTATATTCAAAATAGACTCATCTATTTTTTTATGCACAATGTTTTTCCTATCAGCACATTCCACATTCACAGAATCAGTCAACCCCAGATGAGATTCATCTAAATCCCACTGAATGTGACAAGCGGTTATAGATGACAGGAACAGACAAAACAGGCAACTTTCTCCCACTAGAGGCATTATAGCCAGAGCCTAATATTTTTGTGTGACCCTTATGCTAAAATGGTTTTTACATTAAAAACAAGCAAAAGGTCCCTCCCTGGTGGTGCAGTGGGTTAAAGCACAGCACTAAGAAGCTAAAGCCACTTCCTCATGAGTTCGAATCCCGCCTGCCCCAGAGGAGATCCACATGGCGCGGCAGACCTCTCCTGACCCACCCGCTGCTCCCCTCAGCAGTCTACTT